CTCCACGGCGCGGCTGTGACGGCCCAGGGCACGTCCTCGGCAGGCTCATGGATGCTTTTCAGTCGGCCGTCGCTGAGGCGCGGAGCTGCTGGCAAGGGGCGCAGGTGCATTTCCTGCTTCCTGCTCCAATTTCTACAGGACTACCGGGAAGGCAGAAAGGCCCCAGGGCAGTTCCGGCCCGGCCACGGAAGGGTCTGCCGCAGCGAGAGCAGTGCTAGGGGCTGCAGATGGTGCTGTCTCTGAAGGCTCTTGTCTGGGGCCGGAGTGGGAACTGCGATGGGCCCTGGGTCCTGGCCCTAGAACTCCAACTGGCATGGCCTTCTGACCTTGGCCCGGGCCTCTGGTGGCCAGTCAGGGCCCTTGGCTGGCCTAACAACCATGGCACTGAGCAGGGCGGGGGCTTGGGCCAGACTCCAGGTAGACGTGGGGGACCCCAGCTTCGGACATGATTGGGCCCCTCACAAACTTCCTTTTCCCTTGTTTTAAAAGCATCACACAAGTAGCACATATCACAGTGATTCAAAAGTGGAATAAGAAACTATAAAAACCCCTCTTTACCGCTCCCCACCCCCACTCCCCTTCCCAGTGGGGACCACTCTGCACAGCTGGGGCGTTTGGGGGAGCTCAGAACAGAGGGTAGAGTGGGGGCTGTGACCCAGGCTGCCTGCATCCCGTTTCCATCCTGCTGCCTGTCAGCTGTGAAGCCTTGGGCAAGTTACTCTCCCCCTCCGTGCCTCCGTGCCGCCCTGAGCAGGGGGCCGCGGGAGCCACTCACAGCTGCCGCGAAGAAGAGACGAGTGAATGTTTGAAAAGCACACGGCCAGCCCTGGTCCGGGGCGAGCGTTCAAGAAGCATTCCGATCCCTCTGAGCTGTTCTGCACACTCACCGTTTCCTGCCCGCGTGCCCAGGCTGTGCGTTTCATCCTGCAGTTGCTTTTCCCTCAGTGCTGGGTCTTTTTCCTATGCTGAGACTTTTCTGTTCTGGGGTCCTCTTTCTCCTTGTCTGTCCCACGGGGGCGGAGGGGATTTCTCCCTCTTTCCTTGTCCTCTGTCCACACCTTCCCTCACGAAAGGGCTGCTCAGCCGCTCAGATAGCGGTCAGGCGGCGGCCGGGGGAGACCTGCACGCACTAGCACGCGGGTACGGAGCCGGCCTGGCCTGAGCAGAGGAGCCCAGGAGGGAGCACCCAGTGGGAACTGCAGTGGGAACTGGGTGCCTGAGGGCCGGTCCCGGAGAACCCCGGCCCCTCCGCAGCCCCAGGGCACGCGCAGCAGGGCCTGAAGTCTCCGCTGACAGCTCTGCACCCCCACTGTCTCCTTGAGTCCTCCCTAAAATCCACGGGGAGCTGGGCTCCATCTCACCAAGGCCCAGAGCGGCTAAGCGGCTTTCCCAGCGTCACCCAGCCAGCCTGGGCAGCGCGGGGCTCCGGCCGATCCTGGTGGACTGTGCAGCTCGTGTTGGCCATAACTAAGCCAGAGCCCAGGGTCAGCTCAGGGCAGAGGGAGGGTCGGTGGGAGATTCTGGGTAAACCTGGCGGGAAGTGGCCTGTGGGTTCCGAGGGCGCGGATGGGGGTGCTCTCATTCTCTCGGCTGAAACTTTAGTCCCTGCTGCGTTTTCCATGCAACTGGGCAGGGGCAGGAATTCCCTGGGGCGTCAGACCCCTGCTCCCCTCAGAAGGAGGGGTACGTGGGGGTGGGGCAGGAAGCGGTGGGCACTACAGGCTCCTGGTTGCTGGGGACATGCGCGGCACCCTTCCCAGGCCTGGGGGGTCTGGAGGCCCGATGCTGGGAGGGGTCCGGGAGCATTTTCCTTTGTATTTACTGTATTGGGGTGACGTAGGTTAGTCACATTATGTAGGTTTCAGGGGTAAGTTCTGTAATACATCATGTGTATGTTGTGTCGTGTGCTCACCACGCCCGGGACATTTTGGCTCCCCTGTGTCCCTCCTCTCAGTTCTTCCTGCCAACACCAGGCACTGGGGAGGCTGCGAATGGCCCCTCAGATTTGAGAGTGAGCAGGTGTCCTCGGGGCATCAGGTTTGCAGGCCCAGGGTCTTCCCTGGACCACCTCATCCACCCTCGATCTCCTCAAGCCCCTCCCTCAACCTCACACGCAGCCCAGGGGCCCAGGGAGGAGACTGGGACTTCGTGGGAAGAGCAGCTCTGTGAGGGGGGACAGCTCGGACAGTGGCTGCTGAGCCACCCGGTCGAGGACGGGGCAGAGGCTGGGCCTCCCACAGCCTTTGGTGCTCAGGCCCGCATGGTTCACAATCTCTCAGATCTTGTCCCGGAGGGTGGTGGCGCCGGGAGTCCTGCGTCCACCTGACACACGAGCAAACCGAGGTTGGGCAGCCAGCGCGGCTGCAGGGCCGGCCGGGTCTCCGCGGGCAGAGCCAGCTCCGGCCCAGCCCTTTGTCAGAGAAACAAG